TATTTATGAAGCGGGGAGGAGAGCTCATATATGCTGGTCCGCTTGGCCCTAAATCTATTGAACTAATCAGTTATTTCGAGGTCAGCTGATGCAAGCTTAGCTCTCACCGAATATGTGATATGGTTGAATGGTGATGAAGCAACCGTATAATTTATTTATAATATCCATATCTATATATGTAGGCAATCGAAGGAGTTCCAAAGATCAGGCCTGGATATAACCCTGCTACATGGATGCTGGAGGTTACTTCTTCAGCAGAAGAAAACCGTCTGGGAGTGGACTTTGCAGAAATCTATCGAAGATCAAATTTATATCAGTATGTGTAATTTTTGGTCGTAAATTTTGTATATGAATTTTGGTATATATTAATATAGCATCTTTTTCCACAGATGTAACCAAGAATTGGTTGAAAGCTTGAGCAGGCCAAGCAGTAATTCAAAAGAATTGCATTTTCCAAGCAAGTATTGTCGGTCATCTTTTGAGCAGTTCCTAACTTGTCTTTGGAAGCAAAATCTATCTTACTGGCGTAACCCGCAGTACACTGCTGTTCGCTTCTTCTACACTGTCATCATCTCATTGATGCTTGGGACGATATGCTGGAGATTTGGTGCTAAAAGGTCCTTTTCTCTTCATTTTGTTATCTTCTATGAATATTCAATTCAAATAACACCTTGCTTCAAATACTTCAAATTTCGGAAGCCATAAGCTGTCCATTTTTTTATTACTAGGTACATCTGTTTTACTGCTAGAAGTATGTAGCTTTAATGAACCATTTTACCCTTTCAAGACATGAGCAATTGACAGCGCATGTTGAATAAGTTTAATAATGCAGTGGATATTAATTTACAATGTTTAAGTTTTAATCTAACTGGGATTAAAAAATTTACAAAAAGATAAACCATAATAGAAGTCGACCAATGCTGTTCAAGATGTCTGGAGGTTCCTCGAACGGTTGGGTTCAAGTTGGGTTACGACATTCTAATTTGTTTATTTATACTGCCGCTGGGTCTGATGTATTTTTGTTTTTTTAACCGTCATACTTTATGTAACAACCATATTTGTATTTTCACAGGGAGACGCAGAAAGATCTATTCAATGCCATGGGATCTATGTATTCGGCAGTCCTCTTCATTGGTATAACAAATGCCACAGCGGTTCAGCCTGTTGTTTCTGTGGAAAGATTTGTTTCGTATAGAGAAAGAGCTGCAGGGATGTATTCGGCTTTATCATTTGCATTTGCTCAGGTATTTTTTCAGACGTAACATTAATTTAATGCATGGAAACTGCAGGTTTTTGTAAGTTGACTAACGTGTTATCCTACAATTTGCAGGTCATGATTGAGTTTCCTTATGTTTTTGGACAGGCTATGATATACTCCTCAATATTCTATTCCATGAGTTCCTTTGTCTGGACTGTTGATAGGTTCATTTGGTACCTGTTCTTCATGTATTTTACTATGTTATATTTTACCTTCTATGGAATGATGACAACGGCTGTCACACCAAATCATAACGTTGCTGCCATAATCGCTGCTCCATTTTATATGTTGTGGAACCTTTTCAGTGGTTTTATGATTCCTCATAAGGTATGGAAACTGATGCTTTATTGCTTCATTTGAGTTTTGGTTTATTTGGGTGGCTCTCAAGAATTAATGTTACAAAAAGGACTGAACCATAAAATGCATTAAGGAGAACTTTCATAAAAGCAACCCCATTTTAAAACGAAATAAGAATAAATTCCTAATTTGGTCCTTGAAAAGTTTTTAAAACATCGATTTAATAAAGGAATGATTGATGATATCAAATTGGTTCTTAAATGGTAATTTTTTGTCATAAAAATCATCAATTTGTTCCCAAGATTAATAACTTCGGACTATTTTGATGTCAAAAAATTATCATCGAGTATCATGTTGATGTAATAATATTTCGACAGCTAAATTGATATACCAAAAACTTTGGAGATCACAAGTTGGATTTGCGTAATCAGCTTCTTGCAGTGTATGACCCACACAATAGGTCTGTCCATTTCCCTGGATTCTGTACATTGCAGGAGCTCTACAGTAACAAGTTTCCCTCTTAATTAGCCATACAATTATAATGTCTTGTTCTTTCGAATTGATCCACCAGAAAACAAAATATCATCTGATTTGACTTTGCAACAAAACATCATCCATAACTCCAGAAAATGTTCAAGTGTTGTACTGCTTTTTGCTTTTTATAGTCGTATTTTACTTGCCAAACTTAAGCAATGCAACTTCTAGGCAGATACATTGCAGAACTAAACAACTGATTCTTTGATATTCTCTTAAACACTTTGATTGGCATGTTATTGTAATATTTGGTGTCAAAATACATCAAATTGTACTTGTGTACTCAATTAAATGCTTCATCTGATAACTTTTTCTGCTCCTTCAATTTCTCAGAGAATCCCAATTTGGTGGAGATGGTATTACTGGGCAAACCCCGTAGCCTGGAGTCTGTATGGTCTCCTAACTTCACAGTATGGTGATGATAATAAGTTGGTGAAGCTATCTGATGGAAACTTGATGACTATAAGGCAAGTACTCAAAGACGTGTTTGGGTACAGGCATGATTTCTTGTATGTTGCTGCTACTATGGTAGCCGGCTTCTGCATATTTTTTGCAATAATATTTGCCTTTGCAATTAAATCCTTCAATTTCCAAAGGAGATGATGGAATGGACTTGCAAGCCACTGAAGATATCTATGTTAGTTTTTCAATACCTCATAAAAATACCGCGACATCTGTATAGCGATATGATTATAGCATAGAGCTAGTATGTTTTTAGGGATTGTAAACTAATAAGAATACATTATTAAAATTATTTTGTTTTACATAATTCAGGGCCAAATTTGTTGTAAAGTGGTGTCTTATTGGTTTGTAGGGTTTCTGTTAGATACAAAGTCAGAGTACTGTTTGGTTTAATGACAGATTTTGGAGAAATTGTAATCGCCTTTTTTTTGTGTTATTTCGTAATAATAGTGAGGACTGAGGATGTCCTTCGGTTCTCAGAAAATTCGTATATAGGGGTGACTCGGTGTCTGTATAATCAAAAGCTTTATATTTCCTGTTTTAAAACGGTTTTTTATGGATAAAATCTTCCTTACACTTATTTGCACATTTCACTTCATATTTTGTCTCATTTTAAGTACATTTACACTTTGATTTTGTTATCTATCTCATATGAGATGTCAGACAGGTGATAGGCCAAAAAAAAAAAAAAAAATCCTTTTTGACATCTTTTCTTGAATTGGAGAAAGACCAAAGAAAAAAACAAAAAAAAATAGTTAAGGACCAAAAACCGGAAAGAAAAAACTTGCCATGTCCATCTCTAGTGTGAGGAAAGTACTACAAGAAAAAACCTCATAATAATATTCTTACGGTGAACTCGGAGCATATACAAGTTAATTTTTAAAAATAATAATTGGTATTTTATTTTGGTAAACTCTTTAAAAAGTAAATGTCCGTGTAATAGTTTATGTTATGTTATTTTTTTTTAAAATAATGAAAATCTAACTTTCAAAGTGAATTATTACGTCATTGAATTACAGCAATTGATATTGGGTTTTTTATTTCTTAAATGGATGCCAGAAATATTTTGTTAAAATAGTGTAATTGAAGGAAAAGTATTACTGTATTCTGATAAAATTTAGTTATTTTATGTAGTCTGTGTTTTTTTAGGATAATACTGAGGGTGCGGAAGAGAGTGATCCAAGCATTGCGTACGACCGTATGTCATTTTGTAAGATCCAACGGCTGAGCACTATCCTATTTTATTAGGTAATGCGGCGAGTATGTTTCGTTAATCCGTAAAAAAATAGCCAGCCAGTCCCGTTTTGTTTTTGAAAGAAGACTGAAAAATTCGAGTCGCTCCGTCCTGTTTGGTGGGTTGGATAAGTTGGCTCGTCAATCTGAACCAATTTTATATTGATTCGTCTATGTCTGTTATCTATCTGTCAAAAAACGACCTACACCGCCTCATTAGACAGGTGGGACAGGTTGACCCGTCGAGCTGAGCCTGTTTTGCCAGCCCTAATTATGATGCATGAATCTAGTGCATATGGTTGATTCTACATGTTTGATATAAAGATTTTTTAGATTTTCAAAAAAATAACATTGAGAATCTTATTTACTTAGTTTGATGTAACGATTGTGAATTTTTTTTGTCAAAAATCTAATTTTCACAATATTTTAATGTGTGAAAATTTTTTAAGGCAAAATATTATCCAAGATTACTAGTAACCAGGGGTGTATTCTTGGATTTTCAAGAGATAAAAAAATATTGGTCTCCGCGCCACTAAAGTGGTGATGGCTCCACTAGCGCTAAGCAATTTTTACTTCTCGCACCACAAACACCAATTGTTTAAGCAATATTTTCTTCCTGCTCCAATAGTGCGGTGATGGCACCACTAGTATATTGGCACTGTAATTTTTAAAATTACTCTATCCTGTAATTAACAATCAACCAAATATAAAAATAAGAAAATTTGAGCTAATATTTTTGGTAATATTTTCAAAAAAATTATTTTTTCAACATATTTTTGATAATCATTATTTTTGGACATTTTTAAAAAAAAATTCTATTCTAATAAAAATCCCTAACAATTATAGAACGAACGTATCTCTCTTAAAAAATATAAATAACTCGTTTAGTGCTTGTCAGGTTCTTTAATTTAATTAATTTTCATGTAATTAATACACCTTCTTGTAATTAATAATTCCTTTTTTTAACTCTCATCATTAATTATTTCTATTATAACTGTTCACTTTATCTTACTATCTTCGCCCCCATGATATAAAGTTGTATCATTTTAATTGAAAGATAAATAAAAGAAGAAAGAGTGGATAAAAAAAATATAAAATGCGAGTCTGATTCTCAATGATATAAGTTATGTTATTTAAGTGTAGAAAATTTTTCCTTATAAATATATAGATAACTGGAAGACATAGGGGATCACTGTTTAGCATATGCTTTTTAAGAATGAATTCAATCCCAAACTCCTTCAAGAACCACATTCCACTGGACTTCAAGAATGTACACACCATACCCAATTCCCATGAATGGACCCTACCCAACGACCACACGGTTGCCGAACCACAAACATTCGGATCCATGCCCATCATAAACCTCTCTGACCCAAATGCAAAATCGCTCATACGACACGCGTGTGAGAAATGGGGTGTGTTCCAAGTCATTAACCATGGCGTTCCCTTGAACCTCCTGAATGAAGTTGAACTTCTAACTCATAGATTATTTTCCTTACCAACTCACCGGAAAATCTGCGCTCTCCGGTCACCGGACGGCATCACGGGCTACGGGCTGCCTCAAATTTCAAGTTTCTTTCCAAAGCTCATGTGGACTGAAGGTTTCACAATGGTGGGGTCTCCGGTGGAACATGCCACCCTACTTTGGCCACATCAACCCAACGAGCAAACTAATTTCTGGTATGCCGCATGAGTCATCCTATGTTTTTTTTATATTATATATATTATACATTATATCATGCATTATAATTTTAATTATTTGAATATATCTTAGAGCTTGCTTGTATAAATCTCTTAAGAGCCATAAAAGATAGTCGTAGATAACTGATGGAGCTTCGTTTGTATCTGATGGGATGAGATGTTAAGGGATTCTTTGCATGTCTGCAACGTTTCGTTCTGTGAGTGGTGGCTGAGCTGAGAAGGGGCATTACGCGTGCTTGCACCAACCATAACATGTGTTCAATTTTCAAACATGCACCGCCATGCATTTTTATTCACGTACCTCTTAGCCCTGCCCTTTCCTTAGTTATTGGACCACACCGCAAATATACTTAGGCCCATATTAAAGCCTGCATTGCATTTGTCATTACCTCCGTCTTTAGCTTTATCTTCTGACTTCTGCCTTTTTATTTAGTTTGGAAATTTGTTGAGACTAGCCAAAATTTGTTTTCATATAGTTTATGGGTTTAGTGTGTATCTTTTTAAAAGATATAAACTTATGTTTTTTTATTCCTTCTAACTATATAGTTATAATATAAAAGTTGTTTTTTCTTTCTTTTCTTGTCAGCCGACAAGGTTTTGGAAAGTTTCTGAAAAGAGAGGAAAAAAAAAATAACTATAATATTATAATTATGTATTTTCTGGAATACATAGTTACAAGGGGTTAAAGGACATAAGCAACAAATAATTTCCCATAGTTATTAAGTAAAAGTTAAACAATAATTTTTTTAAAAAAATTTACATAATTTTTTTTGTCAAGCTGTGATTTAGTCTTATGCTTACACTTATTTAAAAAATTACTTTTACCACTAATATTAATTAAAAGATTAGAACAAGGGGCAGAGATCTAGGGGTCAGTGTATGCTAATAAAATTTTAGAAGGCATCATTTTGGACATAGACTCAATTGGAAAAAGAAATCTTTAAGTTGATTCCATAAATCAAAATATAAGTTGAAACACACAAATACAAACTATAATCAAACTAGAACTGTATAGATAGGAATAATGCCCCTTAGCTAGTTCTTTTGTCATTTATCTGTTTATTATATATATAGTGGGAGTGTGATATATATTTTTGGTGCAGTACTGTAATGGAGGAGTACCAGAAAGAGATGAAGAAATCGACTGAAAGGTTGGTGGAGCTGATGCTTGGATCACTGGGCTTAACCTCAAAAGATATCGAGTGGTTGAAGCCCAAAACGGGATGTAACAAGGCCCAGAGTCTTCTTCATCTGAACTCATACCCAGCTTGTCCAGAGCCAGACCGAGCCATGGGCTTAGGCCCACACACTGACTCATCAGTTGTCACGGTTGTGTACCAAAGCACTTGCAATGGTTTACAAGTCCATGGAGATGGCATTGGGTGGATGGCGGTCCAGCCCATTCCCGGTGCACTTGTGGTCAATGTTGGTGACTTGATGCACATACTCTCCAATGGCCAATTCAAAAGCCCTCTTCATCGAGCGGTTGTAAACAAGACACGTCATCGAATCTCAGTTGCATACTTCTATGGCCCACCAAAAGATGTGAAGATATCACCGTTGACCGATCATGATCATCCACCACTCTATTCCCCAGTGACTTGGAAAGAATACCTTGGTGCCAAATCAATGCATTTTAACAATGCACTTGAGCTTATTAAGAATAATAAGAATAGGAATGGAGTAATATCCTCAAAGTGAATGATATGATATTTCAGAGTTTTCAGGGTCCTCTTGTAAAACAAATAATTTAAGGTTTTCAATTACTCAATAAAATGTTGGTTTTCTCGGGAAATGCTTTTCGGGAATTTAGTGTTTGAACTTTGAACAGAATCATATGCATGTATAATAAGTTTTCACCCAAAAAAATGTATAATAATAAAAAGCGCAAATAAATGGGATATTTTCCATGTAAAATTGCAAAATATCTATTTCATTATTTGTACTTTTTGAGGTTTGCCACTTCATTATGGGGATTAGATTTCTCATGTTAGGTAAGAGGAGAAATCTAACTTCCCACAAAGACAAACATAGAGAGGAGAGAGAAAAGAGTGGTGAGAGAAAATTAAAAAAAAAAAAAGAAATCCATGTGTGTTTTTGTTTTTCCACATTTTTATTTTCTCCATCATATATATATATTAGGAAAAAGTGTTTGTCATTTTAAATGACAGAAAGTTATGATATTTTAAGAGAGATACAGACACAGAAAATTTGAATTTTAAATAAAAAAAACCACTCACTTTCTCTCTCCCATGATTTCTATTTTTCTGTGGCTATCTCTCTCCTAAAATGAGAGAACTTATGTCATTTAAAATGACAAACACCAAACCCTATATATTAAGGGTTTAGTGTGTGTCATTCAAAAGGACACAAGTTGTATCCTTTTAGTGATTTACACAGAGTACGACCGATTTACACAGAGTACGACCGGTCGTACTCTGTGTAATTCTGAAAAGTTATTTTTTTTTCACTTTACACGTCAGTGATGTGACTGAAGAGAGAGAAAAAAAAGTAACTTTTCAGTTTTACACAAAGTACGACCGGTCGTACTTTGTGTAAAACACCTAAAATGACACAAGCTTCTGTCATTCAAAAGGATACTTCTTTTTCCCATATATTAATTATCCTGCCATTTTTTTTTTATAGTTTTATATCCTAAAATATAGAATAGAATATATAAAAGAAAAATATTCTAGAGAATACGAAAAAGAAAAGGAAAAATATTGAATTAAAAAATAAAATAGATAGGGTATAATATTAATAACATTATACTTGTTTTTCCCTTTCATTATATACCCTTTCCTATTTCTAAATTAGTGTATGGAAAAATTTTGTCAGAAGGGTCGTATATGGGCTAGCAGGGACTGCGCAAAAATTCAAAACAACTCTTTACTGAACCTATACTATGAAGTAGGAACTACCAGGACAAAAAATAAAAAAAATAAAAAATCCCTATGTATGCTAGGAATTCCAGATCTTGACACACTTGTCATGACTAGCTGAAGCCACCAAGCCAGTAACATTTGATACTGCCAAGGAAGATACAAGGTTGTCATGTGCATGCAGAGTCATTGTCTTGTTCTCTCCGAAGTCCCACAGCTCGAGAGTCTGAAATGCCCATGTTATTCCACATCAAAAACTAAACTCCCAGTTCCAAAAAAAAAGATGGTGCTTATTGGAGAAGAGTCAGAATAACATGATGTTATATTCTTTGATATATATAATAACTTGTATGACAAAAGATAACTTACATCATGGCAGCCAATGACCAGTAAAGGATAGAAGGGATGGAAAGCACATGTGTTGAATTTGTTCTTAGATGATTTCAACTCGTGAATCCATTCCCCTTTGCTGCCAGATCCAACTGTCCACACTCTAACCAGATCATCACTAAGAGATGCCAAATATTTTCCACAAGAATCCCAGCACACAGAACGGACATGGTTATTATGGCCCTAAAATCAAGCACCAGAACGATATTGATAAATAATCAAGGAGGGGGAAAAGAATGAGAGATAAGAGAGAAAGGTGGCATTTTAATAGAACTTTGATGATGGAAGTGTCTATTAACTGTTTAGGCACATTAATGCTGAGTAAAACAATATCAACTGTCGATACAAGTATTTTTTTTGAGGTAAACAGCAAAATAATCTAATACTGCAGAATGTATATGTGAATCATAATGTTCTCCAAAGGAAAGTTGGAAGTCTTAACATTATCAAGAAGAAAGCTCTAGCATCGTTTGTGGAGTTGTGGTCAATTAAAACTTAAGCAAATTCACAAATAGACCAGAAATTAAAATGTAATGTTGGTTACACATGTAAATAAGGGTATTACATACACAAAATTCACAGCTGACCTGTAATTTAAGTCTGCAACTCGGGGTTTCTACATCAAGAATGGATATGAGTTTATCAACAGCAGCAGCAAGAAGCTTTCCCAAATAAGGTTGAAATCTTATCTGAGTTACACCAACCTGATAAAATGTAAGAAAATTAAGTTATTTTCAATCAAATTATAACAATACTTTGGGATCTGCTTCACAATTAATGTTGGAGATTGCAAACCTTGTGAACCCCAGTACAACTACCATTTTTTATGCTCCAATATCTTATCTCATTATTGTCACAAGAGCAAATAAGGTCGTCTTTACTAGGGTGAAAATCTAGTGACATGACAGTTGTTGTATGTCCTGTGAATGTTCGAAGAGAATAACCAGGCTGCAAAGTATAATCAAAATTCAATAAATTATATGATAAAAATAAAAGAAATGATCATGTAATAATAGCACGCACACTGATGAAAGAAAAATCTATGTGATGCGCTCTTTAGACAAAAAAAATGGTTAATCACAGGAATTATTGCACAACTGATGCTATATTAAGAAGTTATAATCTTGAAAGATTCCAAATATGTAAGGACAAAGGAATTTTTTTCTGGCTATCAAACAGCATGCATAGATATAGATAGAGGTAAGGAACCAAATCCAGGTTGATTTATTGACAAGTTCCAGCAATAGGAAGCACTCAATCCCCTCTATCTTTGACCTATTTCCTCTACTTTCAATCATTTATGATCATACCCTAGTTTTCAGATTGATACAACCAGGATTTCATATCAATTCCATAAATAATTATGGGCTATAGCCACTCACAAAGTTGCTCAGATTTTAATTGCTAAACGTGGAAGTGGGGATTATAAAAGAAAAAGAAGGTAAACAACAAAATAGGGTGTGAATGTGATTAATAGAATAAGACATGTAAGCAGTCAGATTAGACATGGGCCATAGTTTAAAGGATGTATAACTTCACAGCTTAACAGTCAATAAATATGCAACAATTTCACAGCATAACAGTTTAAAGGTCATAACTTCTCCATCTCTTTATCTGAATCCAAATTAATTGAACTTTAAAAAAAATTGAATTTGAATTTGACCAATAGAAATCTTGACATACATTATCAACATCCCAAACCCTAACAGTCTTGTCAGCTGAGGATGTAGCAACACGCAACATACTTGGACAAAATCGAACATCAGTTATCCATTGAGCGTGCTCTTCAAGTATAGATTTCAGGTTAAATGATTCTGTGCACCACAAAGAAGCCTGCACCCCAAAACAGAAAAATTGATTTCATCATATTTTAAATTCAAATCAATAAACAAAAGCTTCTTCCAAACCCCACTAAATATAACATTTCTACTCAAATGAAGATTATTTCATAGTTGAAGTCGGATCAGCAGCACCTACCTTTTTATCATGGCCACCAGTAACAAACAGTTTTCCATCTGATGAGAAGTGACAACACTCAACTTTATGTGTACTTGCCATTATATGCTTGATCTCCTTGAATGAGAATCCTAATGCACAGTAGACCAATTTTATTTGAAATCTTAGATTTTTCAATGTAGTTATACAAAAAATCCAATCCATAAAGTGCCTATTGGATTAGGATATTTTTGGAAGGGGGGGAAAAGGAGTGTTTTATCATACCTTTGCCAACTCTTACTTCAGGATCTGCCTCATCAGGAGATAAGAATGACTCAACTTTGTCAACCAAAGGTCCATCACCCATAAGTTGGTCCATATCAGCCTGCCAAATAATAATTCAATTACCTTGCCTTCATGTAGAGTTTCCAAGTGCCCAGATAATTCCATACTTAAGAAACCTTACATGTCCACTATATATATGGAATGACAATCACAAAGGTGACCAGAACCCAAAAGTACTGATTTTTACTCTTAGAAGTCAATTATTTCTTGTTTTATTGAGGGGCCATGATGCGTTCAAACATTTGCAAATAAAAAATAGTTTTTCAGGCTCCCTTTTTTGTAGTATAAATAAACAATATTTTCATTTAACAGACAGGGAACCAATAGTTCTCAACAAAACATGACATAGTATTAGAATGGCATAAACATGATTTGAGAAGATTTTATTTTAAATACAAGTAAAATTCCTAGAAAATATATCTACCAAAAAAAGAAAATAATCCTAGAAAATACTTTCAAAGCATCTCACCAATTGATTCTCGGCTGATGTAAGCGAGCCCAAACCATCAGTACCAAACATAGGCATTGACTTTGAAGAAGGAACATTCTGTTGGACAGTTGGCACAGTCATCCCATCTCCTGCTGCATGGGAAGATGGTGTTGAAGGTGAATCAGTAGATGGTCCTGTGGTGTTTGCAGTTCCAGGGCTATTGGCAGGACCTGAAGATGATGCTTGCTTTCGCTTTTTCGCAATTTGACTTTTGGAAGCCTTAAATTAACACACACTGAAACTGATTAGAAAACCTATATATGCATTAGACAATATTGCTCACAGGCAGCAGATTGAAAACCTGGTCATTTCTTGGTAAGCTGCTAGAACCAAATTTTTCTAGCCGCTGGAGACTCTCAGACTGTTGGCTTGAACGAGTACGCTGTGTTGAATATTGTTGGAGTTGCTGACTACTCTTTTGAACTTGTTGCTTCAAAAGACAATTTAATAACATATAATGAAGAATTTGGGGAAGTTAGAAGGCAACAATTTCTGATGGAATACATTCAAAGTGGTGAAAATTTGAATCCAATTCAGGTACAGCTGTAGGTGATACCTTAAGAGACATATCTGAGTCTGGATGAGGCAACATAGGTGAACCAATATGTGCAGGTGTTCCAACATTAGGAATTAAATCACCAACAGAATTTAATTGGCCATCTTTCCCAAGACCCATCTTTTGATTAAGAAGCACTCCAAATCTTCTGCTCTCAAAATCACTGACAGATGGAGAAACTAAATTATGCTGTGTCTGAAGCATAAGTTGCTGCCGTAGTGAAAGTTGATTGAAAGACTCTGGAGATTGCATCAAATTATTCGGCGGGAGAAGTCCTGAACGAAGTTGATCTAGTCCCTAAAATAATTGAGATATGAACAGATATAGGATTGCTTGGACGGTGGAAAGAACATTGATGCACCTAAATTATCTAGATGAATATAAGAAAAAATGAAGAAGAGAAAGATAGCCCAATATACTTGTAATCTTGTTATTTCCTTAAAGATGAAATTTAAAGCAAAATGAATTAATAAACTAAAATATCCATATCACAACCAATTTTGGTAATTTCCGTTTCACAAATAACTTCTGGCCAACAGTATGGTTCTACACAGGCCAAAGAGAGAGGCTGCCCTAAACATTAAACCAGATAGATGCTATATCTGACAGGTAATGTCCCATTGGTTCTACGAGGAAGTTCACTTCACTAGTACATACCATTTTCTAAGGAAAGTGCCCAAAATTCAACCTTAAAATGTGCAGAAAAAGATAGTAAACATTCTTACGTTGAACAGACAATGTTATCCATCAAGTGTGCTACATAAATTATGTAGTCCAATAAAGTTTGCAACATTGCACCACTAAATGCTATTTTCCCTAAGAAAGATTTAACGGGGAAAAAATCACACCAATCAACATATAAACAGCATCACAATTTTGTTAGGGAGAAATTATGTAAAGTCTTACTGCTAAAGGCCATCCTTTCAGAGTCAAATTGCTACCACCTTGATTTGAACCTGAAATGAGAATAATTGTCAACCAAAAATCAAATAAAATTACTAAAATCATACCGTTACAATATACCAAAGATCCAAGAGATATCATTACTGAGGTGGCATCTAAAGCAACTATACACCAAAGCATGGGATGCTAAATATTTCAAGAGTCAAAAGCAAGGAATAAAATATTAAAGTTGAGGTATTCATTCCAATAGCTCAAAAGAGCTTATAAAAAGCTGGAATTTTTGGATTGATTTTGATTCTTTGAATTATCTTCTGTGTCGATGGAAACATGTCTCTTAAAAAGGGAAGGAAATCATGTTCATAGTAATGAGAAGTATATAAAATCATCATTATATTTTTATTATTATGGTGTCTTTTAAGTTAGAAAACAACACCATGCCACTAGATAAGTAAAGTTCCTAAAAGATAAGCCTATTTGATTTTGCTGTACAATTTTAAGGTACAAGAACCACATGTGAGAAGATAATTGAATTTAGACTTTGGACAGATACAACTTTTAGTTTGCTTAATAACTTCTACTTCTAATAATAACCATTTGATCATATTATGTCAAAAACCATATCACCCAAAAGTTTAAGATGCCAGGAGAAGGTCTGCCAATGAATGATTTCTTCTTAACTCTGGCAAGACCTGACACAGTTTATAAAAGTATACTATATGCGTAGAGCGTTATTTTAACATAACCAACAGCCAAAGAGAATAATTATCAACTATATAAACTTCATAAAGAGAAGTCCCTAAACTATATTTTAATTGCGTAAAGTGAATCTGACAATTTTTGGGAGGGAGGAATAAACTTTTAAATCAGATTACATAAGTGATAACAAGGAGAAGGTGCAGTCACAGACACTGTTAGCTGAGAAAAGCAAGGAGATGAAAACTGGAGACAGGAGAAGTAAATTACAGATCTGAAGACACTTATTCTAATCATTCAACTGCCTCAGGCCTCAGCCATTGAAAGCTATGAATCATGACCAAAGTTCTGACAAGTAGTTTCAACAAATTCTAGAAACAATTTAAATTATTCAAAGATAAATATTTTTTAATTCTACAACAGGGATGCATTGAAATATTTTGCATGTCTTCAGTAGCCAAACACAATTTATATTCTTGTGAAAGCAAAGCACGGTTCCAATGTAACTCTTTATGAACACAGATATTATGTACAATGATTTTCAGGCAAAAAGGAATAAATCCAATAACTTACAATTCCCAAAATGGGAGTGAAAACTGGATGAAAATTAAAATATTGAAGCAAATTAACAAAGAATGAATATCTTCAAAGATCCCTTATTGAACTTACCAAGTCTATATTGAAACACTAACAAGAAAGAGTAAACTTGGGAACAATAAGTTTAATTTGAAACAATAAAACCAGTACCATGAACACCGATAAAGGATCCTTGAGGAACAACAGCTTGAGACCTCATCATTGCATTCATATCCTGTTTCAGGACACAAGACCGGTAAATACAAAATATTATAAGTTTGAAATGGCAGCCGTACAAATGTCAAGACAAAAATGCTGTTCATTATTACTTGTGTACACCCTGGAAGTTGCTGATTCTGATTTTGAATTTGTTGAAGATTCCCCTGTAAAATGCTAGGTGCACTGAGCAATGTTTGTCTGCAAACAGAATTTGACATTTTGCAAATTCAGCCCAAAGTGACATAAGCATCAAGAACAAGATGACATGAAGAATAAATATTCTCAAAGACAAATGATTGGTAGGCACCCCGTAGCATGTCCACCAGTTGTTGCTGCTACTGCTTTCAACAAAAAGGCATGATTTGGGTCCAGAAGCTGACCAACATTACCATCAACCTTCTGCATAAGAAATAGTATAAACAATGCGATATTAATCATATAATAAAAACAATGACCTTATTATAATCTCAAACAGACTTAATACCTTGATGGCCGCATGATCTAAAACATTTCTCTGGAGTGGAAGCTTCAACCTGTCCTCATACATTTTTGTTGCCATAGCATTAGATGTTGCCTCGTTCTGCCTCATCGAAGGGTCATTGCTAATAGGACTGCTAGCACTCCCACTAACAAGTTGAGTTCCACTCCTATGTTGCTGCTGTTGAGCATGCTTCTGCAATAAGTACTGCATTTGCATTTGTTGATTCTGGTTTGGACTCTGATGCTCTTGCTCTTGTCGCTTCCGCATTTCTCGAGCCTTACTTTGTTGGCTCTGTCATTTTCAAATTTATTTTGAGCTAATTTATGATCTATGGACTATACTAGGTACTAAACAAATAGAAATAAGGGCAAGGCACAGATATTGAAACAAAACTTAGTTAGCATAGCATATAGTATTGATTTTGACAGTGACTAGTAACTTAAGATGACAGATGTCAAAGATTAAAATCTTAATCATCTTAAAACCACAGAAAATAGTAATACATTGTAATGATAATAATGCCCTAGTAAATAATTATGCTAAACCATGGACTGTTACACCAAAATTGACACACGCGCACACACACACACACATATATATCTGATTATTCAGATTATTAAAAAAATCTAAATAGGCATAATGTATAAAAAGAAAGTGCATCAACAAGGAGTCATTTACCAATACTAGAAGCAGGGAGGTAACAATGAATACAAAAAGTACACAGAAAACAAACAACAAAGAAAGATGCCAAGGAATTAATCCCAGGAAAAGAAAGAAAAAGATTCGGTTAAGGTCAACTTTTTTTAAGTTTACAAAAAAAAAAAAAAAAAAAAAAAACGCACCTTATTGTAAAATGTTGCTGCTTCTGAACGATTCTCGTCTGTCCTAGCAATATATATGTCCCAGAAGACAGACCACCACTCAAAGAGAAAACCACTGGGTGCGTCTATAACTGGAGCATATGGCCAAAAGTAAAAGTCAAATTCAATTAAATTAGAAGAGCATTTGCATTTGCATATACCAAATTTCATTTCCCACAGAATGCTCATATTATTATCTTACCAACAGGATCGGTTGAAACATTTCCTTCAGCCTGAAATGCTTTTGCAGAAGCATGTAATTGTCTCTTCGTGAGATAATCATAGATATACGCATCTAACCTGTTCCCCAATCCCAAAAAAGGATAGAGAGTCCCAAATAGAAATGGTGATAAAAGTATAATAAATAATCAAAGTGGTAGCAAGTTAACAACTAGCAAACTGAATGGGGATGGTGCAGATACAAATCCGAGCTAAATGATGTTGAGCCTAACAAATGCAAAACATTCTACTGAACTAATTAAGGAGCCTTTTTCCATTTTTCAAAGTGAGATAACAGAAACAACAACCAAATTTTATGATTGCTGGTAAAAACACAATGGAGAAGACATCATGCATAGTTGATAGCTATAAGACAAGTATTAAAACAGGCTATAGGCCTAAGAGCGTATAAATATACATATAAAATACTCAAGCTAAAAATAACCAAAAGAAAAATCAAAGCTTGGAAATGAGGTACAGAAGCTAGTCAAAGCAGATAATGCATAAACCACGCAACACAAGCAACTATGAACAGACAACTGGTGCAAGAAAAGCCAAAAGCTTTACATCATCATCACATCATATTGAAACAAAAACCCTAAACCAAAGCATCAGGGGAAAAAGCAGGCACAGCATCCACCAACAAAAGAAAATGAACAAAACCAAGAAGAGAGAAAAATCAGTAACAATAAGAAGGAACAATGGAAGGTTCAAAAGCACATAGAAAACAAGGCGGCAAATTCAAAAGTGTAAGAGGGTACCGTACATTTCACCAGCATCCCAGTTGAGGCGAGACATTTTTTGAACTCTAGAGGGTGAAAAAATCTGATCTTGGCGATACTCAGCGTAGAAACTGTGTCACTCTATGGCTATGGTGACCCGCTACACAAGGAAACAAAGACAATGCTGCATAGATTTTTCTGAAACAAAATCAATAGAGACAATAATAAAATAACAAATAATAACAGGTATCAGTTTGTGGTTTTAAAACATATAAACTTATGTCAATACTGTAGTTACGTAACAAAAATTATGGTGGGAGAAACTAAGAAGATTTTTCTTTAATTAAATACTAAATAAAAAGTAACAGTTTTAACTAAAAAAATTTAAAAGAATAAATATTTTTTTCATAAGAATATATAGTAATGTATTTATTTTTGAGTTTAATATTTTATTATATTATAAAAGATAAAATTATTTCCTATATATATATATATATATATATATATATAAATATGTGAGAGACTTATTTTTTTTATCTCTCTTCTTTTTACGTAGACTTATATGATCATCATATACTTTTTTTTTTTGGTAATCTGATCCTCATATATTTTATTTATATGTATGAGATAATTTTATTTTATATAACATTAAAAATATCAAACTTTTTATTTTTAACCTCATTTAAATTATATTTAATCTTAACTTAATTTAAAATATATTATAATTTTTATTTGTTTAGCTTAGAGGTAATTTTTTACTATTTTTTAGAGCACATTCTTGTTCCTCACGCAACAGTGTCCATGCTACGAAAATGTTTGTTTTGGAATACCCTCACCCAGTCACAAGTGTGACTATCCCACTGGCGGATGCCTTTTGTTGCATTCAAATAAATATCGTATCTATTATGTTTCCAATAACCTTTTTGTTTCTACGCTCTAGTCTTCAGGGACAGAGATAAATGAAGTCAATAAAGATCTCACCATTCTAAAAAAAAAAAAAAATCAAGAAGTCGTTACCATTTTCTATTTTTTTTTTTAATGAATCATGTTAAAATTTTACATAATATGATAATATGAAATTTTTATATCTATTTCTTTTTGCACACGCGTTAAATAAGTGGGATTCAATTATTATTAATAAAAAAAAAATAGACATAAAAATTTTAACATGAAATGACTCATTTCCTATTTTTTTACCAAGCATTAGTGACATAAATATTGACAAATTAACATGGGATTGAGATGAGCAATATAATAGTTTTTACAGCCAACTAGAAATCATAATTTGTTAAAATAATATATTCTAATTGATAATCATTTTTTGAAACTTTGATAACATTTGTTTTCTTTTTCAATATCCACTTTGTGTTCACACTGAAACTATTTTGAAATGTTTCCTCTCTTAGTATCTATTCTATTCAAATTCAAAATATAAACTTTATAGATGAGAAAAGAATTTAAAATTTTTTGTGTCAAATAACTGTATTAATGTTTCACTACTTTCTGCATCGAAAATTGTTAAACCTGTTAATAATATTTACTATTATATCTATTGGGATTAATTAATTTTTTGGTCTACAAATGAACCAAAGATTAGTTTAATACAAAAAATAAGTTCAAAAAATCTCCTTAATTTGTCTATAAAAAGGATATTGTTATAAAATAAAGGAAGAAATGCAAGAGAGAAAACAGCAAGAAGTAGGACAGAAATCTAATTCTGATTCAACTATATATCCAATACAAACAATATCAATATATATGATTAACTAGCGAAGAAAAAAAGTACATAACATACGTTTATTTATCAAATCTCATAAATATGGCATTTTCTAGGGCAAATCTCTATATATAATTTGCAAAGTATATTCCTTAGACAAGATTTGCAAAGTACATTCTCAAGAAACTCATTTTCTTGATTATGCACTTATTTAGATTATCTTTTTCTTTTATTTTCTTGTTTGCTTTATCCTTTTGGGCTTAAAGCCCAATATATATAATTTAATAAAACCATTTCATTAATTATTTCGTTGACAATTATTACTTACACTTTATTCTATAAATATATATACACTTGAAAGAACTGAGCACGTTTGAAAATAACGCAATTTTAAGAAATAATTATTTTCTTCTTTACAAGCCTTTATCAGAAATCTTTTAATTAATTTTCTGTTACCCCTAAATAAATCAATCCAAACACACACTTAATCTCCCAAACATAGTATTTTTGTACTGCTGATTATTCCAAATAATAGATAAATTTGGCATGTCAGCTATCAAGTGTTAGTAGAAGAAGAAATTATTAAATAATTTACAAGAAATTTTTAATTTTAAAGTTTCTCTACCTTTATATATATAAAAAGCTGAATTCTAACAAAATTTAGGCTTTTACGTCGATGTAATAGGAGCTAATATTGTAGAATTAGGAATAGAGGGGGAAGATTAGCAAGAGCGTGACTAGAGAGAGAGATTTTTCTGAATATTGCTTATGTATTATCTCATTTCACGGTGTACTTATACTCATAGTTGAGTCACATGATAATTGAAATACAGTAATTAAAAATGACTTGGTAATTAAAAGCAGAAACTAACAGTTGCTGAATTACACTATGGGCCTCATTTCACGGTGTACTTATACTCATAGTTGAGTCACATGATAATTGAAATACAGTAATTAAAAATGACTTGGTAATTAAAAGCAGAAACTAACAGTTGCTGAATTACACTATGGGCCTCATTTCACGGTGTACTTATACTCATAGTTGAGTCACATGATAATTGAAATACAGTAATTAAAAATGACTTGGTAATTAAAAGCAGAAAGTAACATAGTTGTTGAATTACACTATGGGCCTCTCTACTTCAGCCCAGGATATAATCCTCCAGGTAAGCTGGTCTACTCCTCCTTCTAATGTTGTCCCCATGAGTGAGAGTTGGGCTTGAACCTACAACTTGGCCCATTACATTACCTTCCCCTGGAAAACTCGACTTGTCCTCAAGTCATAATGGTTCTCGAAGCATTTGGGCTTATATAAGGGAATTGTCCAAGACAGCTGGCGTGGGCACGTGGTTGGCTGGGGACTGAAGTGGTGTTGCGCAGGAAACGAACGGTGGACATTCTATCGACACTGGGGCAGATATCTGAACTGTCGGTTCAGGTAGGCTGATGGGTGCTAGCTGTATCTCATTAGGGATATTAAACGGCGTAGATCTTGCCGACACGGGGGAAAAGATATGAGCCGTCGAATGTGGAATCGGATCAGTGGTCATAGGGAACTGTTGGACTTCAATTCTAGGCAAAGTGGGTGGGTTTGCCAGATGTGTCCCTTCCTTGTCCTCCCCTTGATTCTCTCCTCCAAACTTCTCTGTCGTGCCTACTAGGTTCCCTCCCGGTGCTCCTATCACCCCTATTAGTTCGTAACCCTTCTGGTTGTCGAAGGTTCCCCTCTGTATCCTTTGTAGTTATGCCTTTGACTGTCCCTTTTTTGTTCACGATTTCCAGTGTTCAACACCAGCCCTTGATCCTCCCAAGTGGAATCCTCCACTGGTAGATCCTGCCACTGTACTAGAACCTGAGGTATGAGTTTCCTTTTTTGCCAAATCTGTCTAGAGCCTACAATAGCATAGGGCGTGTGCAACAGAGGATTCTCTGTCTCCAAGAGTGGTAAAGGATGGACTTTGTACCGATGACCCGAACGAAATGGCCGTAACAAGGGAACGTGGAAGACGGGGTGTATCCTTGCCGTGGTAGGTAACTTCAAGCGGTATGCCACTAGACCAATCCTTTCTTCCACTTCAAACGACCCATAATAACGACGGGCTAGCTTCTGAGATGAACGGCGGGCGACGGAGATATGGCGATAGGGCTGTAACCGGACCAGGACTAAATCGCCAGAGGTAAAGTTCCAATCTTTCCGCTTTTTATCTGCTTGAGCTTTCATAACTTGTTGAGCCCTGAAGAGTTTTTCTTTTAATGTGCCTATAAGTGACATTTTGTCAGAGAGGGTAGTATTAACTGCTTCGTTGAATGAAGACCCCAAACAATAAGCTAATAGGTTAGGTGGTTTGCGACCAAACATGACCTGATATGGTGTCACTCCTGTGGAAGAATGAAATGACGTGTTGTAGTGATACTCTGCCAAGCTTAAAAATCTGGACCAGCTGGAAGGATGTGCATGAGAAAACGCCCAAAAGCAATTTTCCAAACATCTATTTACTCTTTCGGTTTGACCATCGGATTGGGGGTGGTAGCTAGAACTGAAATTTAATTTTGTCCCCTGCAGTTTAAACAAAGATCGCCAAAAATCACTCAGAAAAATTGGATCATGATCTGACACTATGGATTCCGGGAGCCCATGAAGTTTACCGACAAAATCCCAAAAGAATTGGGCTACTATCGCCACTGAGTAAGAGGCAGAGAGAGGTACAAAATGAGCTGCCTTGGAGAATCTATCGATGACCACCATGATTATGGTATGATCTGCAGATTTGGGCAAGTGAGCACTAAAATCCATGCTTAAGTGTCCCCAAATGGTTTCTGGTATTTGTAGGGGTTGCAACAGTCTGAGGGGTGGGTGGTTAGGTGCTTTTAACTTCTGGCATGTTTCACATCTGCGAATATATTCTTTAACATCATTTTGTAATCCTTTCCAGGTGAAGTTCCTTTGAATCCAATGGAGGCAAGCCTAAACTCCTGAGTAACCACCATGCACCGAAGTGTGATAATCATGAAGAATATGCTTGTTCAATGAAGACCCCGCTAGAATAAAGATGCGAGACCAGTGGAATAAGAGTCTATTTTTGAGCCGCTAATCAGCCATAGCCGTAAGATTAGCTTGTAATTGTTGTATCATCTGTGTAGAGTAGGCATCAGAATTGTATTTGAACTATAACTTATTTGTATAATTGAGTACTGGGCCAGAAATGACCATGAATTGGGGTGACTGGTCTGCAGTGCCCCCTACATGCAGTCTAGAAAAACTGTTGGCCACTGTATTGGCCTTTGGCCTTGCCCGCTTTATACACTATTATTTAAGTGAACCCCAATAGTTTAGATAAGAATTGTTGCTGCTCTGGGGTTTGAATAACCTGGTTCATCAGGTTATGTAAACTTTTATGATTTGTGCGTATAGTAAACAGCGATCCCAGTAAATATTGTCGCCATTTACTGATGGCTGAAGTAATTGCAAACATCTCACGTACATAAACGGACTGATGTTGCACAGCTGGTGATAGTTTGTGGCTAAAGAAGGCAAGAGGTTTCTCATTTTGTAACAGTATTGCTCCAATACCCACACCCGAAGCATCAGTTTCCACGACAAACGGTTCAGAGAAATTGGGTAGAGCCAGAATAGGGGCCGACACCAAGAGATGTTTCAATTTCTCAAAAGCCTGACCAGCCAATTAAGACCATGTAAAACCCGATTTGGATAATAAATCTGTGAGGGTGGCAGCCACTGTAGCATACTTCTTAATAAATTTTTGATAATAGCCAGAAATGCTCGAACTTGAGTAGCATTCACTGGAATTAGCCACTCCAATATAGCCTTAATTTTATCCGGATCAGGGGTGACTCCCTGACCAGTAATAATGTGACCCAAGTAAGGGATCTCCATCTGGGCAAATGCACACTTTTCCTTCTTGGTGAATAAAGAGTGGGAGCGCATGGTGCGAAATACAGCAGTGAGGTGATCCACGTGATTTTCTGGTGTCGAGCTATAAACTAAGATATCATCAAAGAAAATGACCACAAATTTCCTTAGGAATTCGGAGAAAAAAGCATTCATCGTGGACTGAAAAGTGGAAGGAGCATTGGAAAGACCGAAGGGCATGACCACAAACTCAAAATGCCCATGATGTGTCCTGAAAGCGGTCTTATGCATGTCAATAGGGTTCATTTTAACTTAATGGTAACCAAATCTCAAATCTAGTTTGGAAAATATAGTAGCTCAATGTAGTTCATCCAACAAAACCTCCAATTTTGCACCGTAATCTCAATAGTGGGAATAGGAAACTTATCTTGCACCGTAATGGCATTAAGAGCACGGTAGTCTACGCAAAACCTCCAAGTACCATCTTTCTTTTTAACTAATAAAATTGGGGAGCTGAAAGCCGGAATGGCTGTGTTGTATGATGCCCTTCTGTAGCATATCTACCACCAATTTTTCTATTTCATTTTTTCTGGTAATATGGATAGCGGTAGGGTCTTACTTGGACGGGTTTAGAGTTGGGAAGTAGATGGATGTGATGGTTATAAGCCCGATCAGGTGGTAGTGAGGACGGTTCTGCAAAAATATCAGTAAAATTTTGCAGTAAGGTAGATAACTCTGAAAAAGGCACCGAAAATAGCTTTGATGGTGGGGAGAGAATGCCGGGTGAAGTAAAACACATGAGGCAGGATGAAACAGTCATGTAGTATTAGTTTGTGCAACTGTGAAGGACTCATTTGGCTGGAAGTGACCGTCCCTACCCCTTGGAGTAGCACCTTTGAATCGTTATGGAGAAAGGACATGGTTAAAGCAGAATAATGTGGCCAGCCAATGAACTCCTAACACCATGTCAGCACCCTTTAAGTCAATGACATATAAATCAACAGTAAACAAGTGGGATTGAATATCAACTGTGATAGTCTTAAAAGTAGCTGAACATATAAGGGCATCACCATTTCCTACCTGAACCTTCAAAGGAGGAATGACATGTAATGCTAAATGAAGATGAGAAGCTATACGAACAGTGATAAAGTTGTGGGTACTACCTCCATCCACCAGAATTTGGACTGGGTGGCCAACAATTTTACCTTGCAAACTGAAGGAATTTGTAGATCGATGACCAAACAATGCATTGTAACTGATTTCATGAGGAATATCACTAAATTTAGTTTCCACTGTTTCAACGACAGTGGCTCCTGTATGTGGTTATCAGGACTATTAGGTTGTTCATCATCTGTGCCATCCAAGTATAAGAGTGTGGCCCGGCCTTTGCATCTGTGACCAGCAACAAACCTTTCGTCACAATTGTAGCAAAGATTCTTTTCTCTACGTGCTTGCATTTTCGCAGGAGATAGGCGTTTAATGGGAATGGCAGGTAAAGACAAAGGAGGTTTAGTAGTGGGTGCGACTAATGTAATAGGTTGTGCAACTATGGGTTGTGATGGGTTTGAACGATTTTGCCAAGGTCTTGAGTTTCTATTGTCAGCAAATTGTTCCTCATATAGTGTGGCAAAAGCAAAAGCAGTTGCAACATCTAATGGGCGATGAACTAAAATTGCTCTACGAATGTGAGGTTTTAACCCTGAAATGAAAAGACTCTTGTGGGTAATAGGGGTTAAATCGGGAACTCGTTTAGCAAGCAACTCAAATGTTAATTGGAACTCCAAAACAGAACCCGATTGCTGTAATTTGGCTAAAAAAACCCAAAGGATCCTCAAATTCCGATGGTCCAAAAATGCTGATGTAGCGTTATGACAAAGGAATGCCAATCTGGAAATTGACCATTGCTAAAAAGAGCTTCGAACCAGCAAGAAGCAGGCATATCCAAATTAAAAGAAACCATATCTAATTTGTCCTGATCAAGAACATGATGGTAACGAAAATACCTGTCCACAACAAATAACCATGGATCCAGATCTCCCGAACCAAATCGTGGGAAATCGATCTTCATGGAGCGCAGAGGTGGTGCAGTGCGGCCAGGCGAAGCACTCAGTAGGCCTGTGTGAGCGTTCACACCCAGATTTGTGATCTGTTGCTGCAGTGTTTGCAGAAGTGTGAATATTTCTTGGATCTGGTGATTAACAACCTAAAACCATAGGTTTTGCTCTTCAAATCGTTGGTTCTGTGCATTTTCAAAGGTTTCCAAACGATGATCCGTCATCCTCTCTAGTGTGATAAATTATTGGTCATGAACATGTAGCTGGTTAGTAGGGGCAAGTAAACGAGTGTTTTCTGCCATAACTCAATAACAACAATGAAAGCACCAATGTAATAAGAGCTAATATCATAGCATTGGGAATAGAGGGAGAAGATTAGCAAAAGCATGACTAGAGAGAGATAGAGAGAGACACACACACACACACAGAGAGAGAGAGAGAGAGAGAGAGAGAGATTTCTGAATATTGCTTATGTATTATCTCATTTCACGGTGTACTTATACTCATAGTTGAGTTACATGATAATTGAAATATTGTAATTAAAAATGACTTGGTAATTAAAAGCATAAACTAACATAGTTGCTGAATTACACTATGGGCCTCTCTACTTCAGCCGAGGATATAATCCTTCAGGTAAGCTAGTTTACTCCTTCTCATGTTGTTCCCAGGAGTGTGAGTTGGGCCTGAACCTACCCCTTGGCCCATTACAGTCGAAATTATTTCTAACATCAAAATCACATGTGCGAATTGCGATTAAAAAAATAAAGAAAACACAATCCAGAATCACATGGCCTCACAACTTAGTCAGAGGCTTGAATCTGTATCATGTATGTAACCTCGTGTTATCATTTTTGATAAGAATTTATGAATAATTTAACAACTAAAAATTATGATATAAATACTGCCTAAAAAAAACAAGACACAGCCCAGGGAGAGCAAACACGCTTAAATTAATCATAATGTCCCACAAACACTGCATATGGGTGAATATTTGCTTGCCATTACCTGAAAATCTGTCCATCTTTTAGATTCTAAATGCAATGGGGAAAAAGAACATTAACCCCAAAGAAATATTACAAGCATTCCTACGGGCATATTTGTTGCCACTCTCCATTTTAAATTGTTGAAAGCTCATCCTAAATTCTTAAAGTTCTAACATGTTGCGCGACTACATGCATTCAAGAATCAAAACTTCTTTATCAACTAATACAGAAACCAACGTCCCACAAAAGATGAGGAGAAAAGAATTATTTATAGGGCATGAAATGCAATAGAAGGTAGGCCATGATTTTCACTCCATGAAGTCATCTTTGTCATCAATGGGAATTGGTCTATTCCTCCAATACACAGCAAGAGCACTCCCCCCAAGCTGCATGACAACAGTGAAAACTAGTCATTGATAGATTCCTAAATCCTTTAACAAGAAATGAACAAAACGAAACAATCTTAGAGCAGGAAAATATCCTATTTACCGCCATGCAGACAACACTAACAGCAGAAGGAACAGCTACAAGGGGATTTGTAAAGTGCTTCTGAGCAAGTAAAAATCCAAGAGCAGAGCTCTGCAGATAAAAATAAAAAATAATAAAGGTTAGACATAATGATCAACCATTCAACATTACCAGGAGGAGTTACCTTGATTTTGATGAGAGAGATCTAAGAAGCATAATACAAGTTTAAGCATCTATAGAGAATACAAATGTGTATAGAACTGATAATGATCGTCCCTTCACCAGAAACAGTTCAATGTCATATTAAGTTATTAATCTATTGATCTAACATTAATTATTGTTCACTTCCTGAGCACGATACTGCTCAATATATGGAAAATTCAGATTTGTGTGCTTTGATGTACATTTTGTGCAATTTGATAGTAGGCACTGGGCAAACACAAAGAAACACCAGCAGTGCGCTCTCTTGGTATGATAACCAAAACCCCTTCTATATAATTAAATTTGTATCAAGAACAGAATCCTTTCACAGCTCCTTTATATACGTTTATTAATGAATGTATTTCTGTACGCTAAGATGCCAACTCCAGATGACATGATATACAATCAACAAAAGCAACATAACCTAATGGGTGTAGCTTAGTTGGCAACACAGGCTGAGTAGAGTGGGGAGAGAACCCGAGTTCGATTCCCACCAAATATATCTTTGGAGAGGGGCGAGGAACTTTAACTGTGACTAAGCCCCGACTCGAGATTAGTCTCATAATTAGCTCAAAGAGATGAAGCTTGTGAGGATACCCGGGAGGCCAACTCGCCTCAAAGAGATAATTAGGATCAGTATGCCAAAAAAATCAAAAGCAACATACAACCTAGAAAGAGGAACGAGTCTAAAAATTTTCAGATGGGATAAGATAACAAAGAGGTATTGAGGTGTGAAGAAGAGGATTACCTGCATCCCACACTCTATAGATATTGTGCGTGATGTAGATTCACCAAATGATAATTTTGAAATCCAATAACCAATAGCGAATGCAGCAGCATGTAGAAAAACAACCGGCAATATTAATTGTGCTCCTTGAGTTTTCAATACATCTGAAACTTGTCCAATCTGAAAAGTATTATATATAATACACGTCAAATTTCCATGCAAAGCAAGAATGACAAATGATAATCTACAATGAAGTAAACTGCAAGCTATCAGAGATTAATGCTTGTGAACTTCATCTTCTAGAACTTAGTCAACTTACTGGGCTTGCACAAAGGAGAGTGGTCAAAATAACTCCTATCAGAGGCGTAACCTTGATTATCTTTGAAGTGAACTTGGGGAAAAACTCATTAGCCAAAACTGCCAGATAAAGCAAAAACATTTTAAAATCATCCTATTTAAGCACCAAACCTTACACCAAGTGAAGACACGTTAATGTAAATTCAAGTGCCCAACCAACTCTAACACATAACTGGAAAGATCCATCTCTTACCTCCCACAGTTGTTGGGACTAAAACAACCTGAAAGGTACTAAATGCCAGACCCTGAAAAAGACAAAGAATAACAGTTTCATTCCATGAGTGAAAATAATAAATACAAGGGGATTTCTGTGACAAAAATGATGTGAAAATCTCAGCATAGACAGAAGAACAGTATGTCATTAAGAAAGACAAGATATCCTGTCTAGAATCAGGCATCTATATTTACTTTTCCGCATGATTAGAAGAAAATATGATTGGTATTGTCAAGTGTAAACAAAGATTGTTTCGGTAACAGCTAGCCAATAGGAGGCTGGTATTATATCATTTAAATGAAAAGTTTTTTCCACATCCCTTTCATTCCAACAAAAAAGGCACGCCACAACTTACGGCAGCATCAACTGGAACAAGTTGACCAGCAAGAAGCTTTGTAAGGAGTGGGGTCATAACAATAGCTCCAATAGTTGAACACCTGTAGAACAGTAAATAGCATCTTTAACTATTTCTGAAGCCAAAGTTCTGAAAACAATGATTCTCTTAATCAACAGCATTATACATCAGATAATTCATTGCTGCTACAAAATACAAAAACAATAAAGCTAAAATGACTTCTTCTTGCTATAACATGACACATTTGCAACCATGTCACGTATTCAGTAATTGTATATTGTTCTTATACATTATTCAGCCTTGCATGTTTAAAGAGGACATTTACATTGCATTGTATTGTGCAGGTTCTTCTTGTTTCTATTAGAATCATAAAGTACCACAAAATTTAGTCAAATTGCTTTGGTTAACTCAATAACCTATAGATAAAACTTTTGGCTTTTGGGTACTTTGTTATAGAATATAGATTGGTATTTTGAATATCAAATAAGGGCAAGCCTTGGAGCTGTGCTAAGATTGCTTTTTATGACCAAAAAGTTACGGGTTCAATTCCGGAAAATAGTCTCTCTGCAAAAATACAAGGGTAAGGTTGCGTGCAATCGACTCGTACAATCAACCCCCAACCCTACCCTCACAAGTCGGGGAACCTTGTGCACCGGAGTTTGACCTTTGCCCTTTATTTTGTATATCACATATACTTTTCCAATTGCAGCCAAAAAATTTCAAAATGTATTCTAACTTTGAACTGCCAAAATTTAAAAGTGTCATGAGGCTCTAATTAGCGCAACATATTAATCCAAATTCTTCCATTTCTCCTTCAAGTAACAAAAAAAAACATTTTGAAAATAAATTCTACAAGGACTAGAAACTCAGGTTTTAGTGTACAGGCACTGAAGGATAGGATAACTAGTAGTTGTAACTTCAATGCATCCACTAATCCTATATTACTTATATGATACCAATCTTAACCAAATTAAAAACAGATTTTTCAATTAAAAAGACAAAACCTGCAGATGTGAAGAGGGACAGGAGCCAATACAAGAAACCAAAATAATGCATTTAACAAATGAGGTAGCTGAAGATGAGTACAGAAATCACCAACAAGGGAATACATGTTAAACATACGTTGTCATAAGAACAGAGAGTGCAACATTTCCCTTGGATATGTATGTTGCAACATTTGACGCCTGACCTCCAGGACAACATGAGACCAGAATAAGACCAGTTGCAAGAGGAGCCGAAAGTTTTAGAGTCTGAGAATCAGAGATTGATGTTAGAAGATTTCACATGATATAGGTTCTTATGATGCATAATACACCATCTACTATAAGAGAAGTAACCAATTTTACAAACTTTGGTATCTAATTGCAAAAACACATTTTTTTTTATAGAGAATAACAAGAATAGGACTGGTAAATAGAAGTGACAGAACAATACTAGGCATTGAGCTCCAGTTTTTTTAAGCAGCAACCCAAAAAAAAAAAAAGCATTGCAGATCCCAAAATTGATCTTGTGAAGAACCAATTTAACCCAAAGGCCTAAGTTGTTAGGTGAAAGCCACATTAATGGTTTTATATAATTTCTCTAATATATCCTCTCACACAAGTCCATTGGGCTTGAAGAGTGGAGAATGTACAGGCCACCTACCTGTGCTGAGAAACTCTAGAATATTTAGTGAGGGTCGAACTCGTGAACATTTGGTCACAGAGGCTCTAATACTATGTAAAAACCAATTCAACCCAAAAGCTTAAGCAATTAGGTGAAGGCTTCATTAATGGTTTTATGTAATATTTCTCTAACAGACCTCAATAAATAAATAGTTATACTAAGTCCTATACCCATATCTAAGGAAACTAAAAATGTTTTCATCATCACTATCATCGATCATATAGCTTAATAAGGATAATAAATTCAAAGGGAAGCCCAGATAATCACATTTACAATAAGCTCTTCAGCACCTGTAAATTTATCTAAATATACATTTATTCTTTGGTCTAGAAATTTACTCCAGTCATAGACAGTAAATAACTTGCCATTTCAGTGGAAAGTTTGTAGGAATAACCTTCTCAAAGATATAGAAGGACTTGGAACTTCAGCATAAAAAAGCAGATAATCCAAAAACAATTAGCACAATGTTATGAATGACCATCTTGCTTAACCTAAAAGCATAGGAACTGGAAAGTGGAAACCCTCAGCTTATTGTTGATTAAAAAAGGATTATGAGATCAAACAACAACAATGGCCAATATCACCATTTTCATTTCAAGAGTAAGATATCTTTAATTTCTTCAATTAAACAATCACTATGCAAAAGATAATATAAAATGTAGCATCTACAATAAATAAACTGAGGTGCAAAATACTCAGTTAATCATTACCATGACATAATTTCTTTGACAACAATATAAGGAGGTAATATAAAAAATATGAGGACAAAACACATTTCAAGAGCTAATTTGAATTTAGTACATAGATAGTAAAGCATGAAAGTGCCCAAATAATAACAAAAAATACCATTGCAACAGCAAAGCCTAGCATGGGTTTAACAAAGTATTGTGCAAGAAACCCTATACCCACCTGCAAAAACAAAATGGATAATCTTTAAAAGCAAGAATGAACAGATAAATTTTCCTTTTTATAATAGTGATTGTCCCTTACAGTCCACGGATTTCGTAGACATCGTCTGAAATCCTCAAATGTCAATGTCAAGCCCATGGACAGCATTAGGAAACCCAAGCCAAGAGTAAAAAGGTCTGTCTCCAACCAAGTTACCTGGAATAAAGCAATTACACCACAGCAGTTAATCAAAATATTTCCACTCAACCATGTAATTAGCAGAAAAAGACAAAGTTATTACAGCAGCTGGCTTGTAAATGCCGACGATAGCCCCCAAGATGACCTGCCCATGTAAGTCTAAACTATCAAATTACTGACCAAGTATGAGATTATAAAATTTTGAGACAGACCTAAACATTGAAGATGAAAAGTCTTAGACTTACCCACACAGGAAAAAGAGTGGTTAAGGTTTCAATCACTTTCTCATACTGGCTCATCCCCCCAGCACTTTCAGGAATTTCTCCAGAAATGTTTGTTGTAGCCTTGCACAATATTTTAGAGTTCCTAAACATAGCAATAAACAAGTCATTAGCACTTTAAATCGAGAATGTGAAAGTACATGTAAGCACCAGAAAACAGACCAAAAGACTTGTCGTGCAATACCTGACTAAAAAAGGTCAATCAAAAGTTCTGGAAGTACTGTCATCAAGTGACTGGTGTTTTTCATTCTTTTTTCCTTTGTTATTCAAATTTTCATTTTAAATCAAGGATATGAAAGTGGACACAATGCTATCAAGCAGTTAATAATTTCTTTCTTTTTCCTTTTTCTAGTGGGAAAGAAGGGAAGCAAGACACTCTACCCATGAAGAGCACTTAGTTTTTGCGCAGCAAAGAAACAAATCAGAAACTCGGTAATCATTAGTATAATTCAGGAAAGGTTATACCACTCTACTCCATAATTTTTAAGCTTGAGGGCCTAAGTAGTATACTTAAATTTCAGAACTGGAGGATAAGTTTATAATTAGATTTTAGGAGTTACATACCTTATGGACGAGAGTAAACAATCCAACCGACCAGATGCTGCTTATATGTGATTAACTATTAGCAAATCATTATTCCAACACCCATCAATAAAAGCAATTTGTCGAAATGTGAAAGTGAGCTCGAGTTCTTTTCTTTATAGAAGTGATAGCTGCATCACTCACAGCAAATACTTACGGGAATTTTTATTTTATTTTTTTAGAAGTTCAAGATATTAAGATTTATCCTTCTTTGTTTACATTAAGCTCTTTACATTTCCCTATAAAATAATTTGTTCCAAGACCTAGAAAGTTAGTGCTGCCATGGAAGGTTAATAACTTGCAAATGGAGAGTTGATAAGAAAAACATTGACCATCTTGCCTAACATAAAGCACAATAAATGGAAAGGCCCTCAGCTTATTGTCTGTGACACAGGAATTAAGGGTCTCAAACAATCAACTCAACCCATTTTCACTATAAGTCATCTAATATACCTTTAATTGCTTAGATTACAATGACTGCTGAAAAGCTGGACATCAACAAAAACATTGATTAATGTTTCTATTTCAAAACTGGTTACAATCACTACCCACTGCAATGTTTAGCCTTTTCCTCTTCTTTTCCCTTCCCCTGTTCCTACATTAAAATAGAATCAGGAACTTTTTCCGTGCCCTTTTCGTCGGACAATAGCTGTAAAGTTTTACACTTTGACGAATTATTTTATGTTTGAGATAATCCAAGCAGGTTCTTAATTCTAATACACTGGGGACCTACATATCTTGCTTCTCTGGAAAGAATTTCATCATAACCTATAAGTAATGCGGCAGAAACAATTCCATTCCCTCAAATCCCTCCTCAGACGTCAATTATGAGAAATTAGGCATTCCTTTTTTGGACATAACATGACACCTCCATCACCATGATTCTCACTGCAGTCCATAGCCTTTGCCACTAGTCCTAAACTCCTAGTGCTTGTATACCATTCTTCAATCAAGTGAATACTATAAGCATAAGTTAATTTCTCCCAACCAAAATCAGAGCTTGGTTTCAAAGGATTACCTTTTTGACGTTTGATGGAGTAAAGGTAGTCTTTCAACAGCAACAACTGGACCCCACAACTCGCTTCGGATTCCACAGCTTCTTCCACTCTCATGCAGATAAAACTCACTTTTAACATCTGAAAGAGGGAAACAAAAAAAAATACAAAAAATACAAAACTTTTCAACAAAATCATGAATGGAAGGAAAGAAACAACAGTCCCCATTTTCACAAAATCAAAGAAATAAAACCCAGTAAGCAAGAAATATCCAAACAAGCACAGATCAAACATACCCATATGAGCATTGTGGAGCTTGATCCGAGTGGGAATACAAGAATTTGGCTTAAGCAGCGCATCACATGCCCCAATCCTATGGTCTCCGAGAATGATTCTAGACATGGAAGCCATGGATTGCTGCATGCAAAAGAGTAGAGATCTCCGTTGGAGGTTTTAGTTGAAAAGGGTTTATAGATTCAGAACATGGAATATTAATATGTGTTTGTGTGTGATCACGGTAAAAATTCAAAGGAAGAAGGCGAAGTATTCGAAGTTGGAAATTTACATCCAAATGAGAATGACAAGTCTGAGTGTCGTGGATATTTCAGTCTGTCGTGGAAACCTATGCACCACAAACGCTTCCATGTCTCATCCATATCCTTCCAAATTATGCCTGTTTTTGCGATGTTCAACCTCACTCTGTCTTTTTTTTTTTTTTGAATAGTTCACTCTTTGTCAATTTAAATGAAGGAAAAAAGTTGTGTCGCTTTACAATAAGAATTTTTTTTTTCTCAATTACCTTAATTGACGTGAAAAATAAAATAAAAAATAACTTTCATATTATAATTATATTTTTTCTATAAAATATAGTATAAAATTATTAAAAATATATAAATTATGTCTTTTAAAACAACAAATGTTAAACCCTTAAATGCATGATAAGTTGGGTATTGTTATATATTACTTTTGCCTCTGGGAAACATAAGGAGCCCACGTCTTTTGTTGCCTGTCTCCAATAATGTGGCTTCATTTCTTATAAAAATTAAGGAATGGGAAAAAAATACACAAAGTAAAAAATATGAGAATGTATATTCTCATAGCACATGATGAAATGAAAAATATCACATTGTACATTTAATAGATACCGATCGCCGTCTAAAATGAAACACGATGTATAACGCCCAATAAATGCCGCAATTCACGATAATAAGATACAAGAGCAACCACCTAATTGTCTCAAATGTTATTCAATGATCGGATAATTTTTTCTCTTTTTGAACTGTTAATTTTAAATTAATTCAATTATAATTAAACAAATAAATTAGAGGATCGTTATTTTTATAATCTAAAAATTTTACAATCTCTTGTAATGTATTTTTTTACTGTTAATTTGCGTCAATCCAATTATTATAATTTATTAAAATTAATAATTAATCAATAAATATGACCTAAATTATAACTGTTGAATTGACAAAAATCAACAACAAAAAATAAGTTATAAAAGATTATAAACGAAAAAAGATTATAAGAGCTACTCAATAAAAAAATGATAAATCTAAAATAATAGTTAATATAACTGCCTCCATATTTTATCTTTTGTCATTTAGCACTCCCACAAGTGTGCAAGCCGTTAGTGTGGATCTTTCGAAAAATTTATATGCATCTAGTGCTACATTCAACACGAGACTTTGTATCAGTTTCGAATCATATTGTGCAACCATGCTGAATTTAAAGGAAATTATTGAACCAAAAAAATAATTTCATACATAGCTAAATATTAATGAAGACAAGGACATTGTCAAACTTGAACATGTCTAATTATCACGTTTAAGATAACCTGCATAGTATAAAACTCATAGTTGCTTACGGAAATAAATATATTGTATAGTATATCCGTATTATTAATTCACCGATAATGAAATTTTCAACAATGAATCTTTTGAATATAAATTACTTAATCAATTATCAAAATATTAATGCAATATTTCTCAGTTATGCATGCAATAATTACTAAAAATCATCTTTATATATAATTTTTTTATTAATTTAATTATTCTTATATAAATCATTAATTCATGATATGAACCCTAATTTTTTTTATCCAAAAATGTGTTAAAAAAAGAAGAAAATATATTTAGAAATCAGTGTATGAAAAATCCAGTTCAACAATAATCGAATCAGGATTTCGGACATCAGTTGAATTTTATAAAATATATATATATATACTTCTACATTGTTAAAGGGGAACTTTTAATTATTAAGATAATAAGTCTATTCTTATTTTAATATAATCTAACTCACATGAAAATATTTGAGAGTAAATTTTGTCATATATTTCATATAATTTAATAAGGAAAGTTATATTTATAAATTTTTTATTTATAAACTTTTATAAACTATATTATATACTTTCAGAAGTACACCGAAAGTATACAATGTAATTTACAAAATTTTATAAATAGATTCTTTTCTTAATTTAATTATATGAAAATTTTATGTTTATTTTTATTTATGAATATTTCGAAATTTAAGAAAGTTATGTCAAACATCAGAAGCTGTCATCTTATGCAAAAGTATCCTTTGGTACAACTTACAAGGTTTGCTAGCATCTCAATCATATACAGTCTTTAGATTATTATTTTTTGCCAATTATTTTGGTCTCGATCTATGTGGCGATGAAGACTTATTATTAGCCAACTAGGGTTGGCAAATCCAACAATGATATGAACTATAGCTCTTTTGATTGCAAATTGTTTGGGGAAAAAACTCCAATCTCACTCTTTCTTCGCGTAGTTCTGATCATGTTTCGTACTTTTATGTGTCATGATTTGGATAAATGATAATGATACAAATTAGGGATAAGGCGAAAAAAAAGAGTAATATTATTTACTTGTAGAATGTTTATACATGACATACAGAACTCTCATTTTTATCTTTTTCTTTTTCTTTTCCATCAATTACACGCACCTTTTATATTTAAATGAAATTAACATTTCTAAAAAAAATAATTTTAGTTAGTTATAGTTATACTTATTTTTTTCTCACGTAATACCATCTACTTCTCTTTTCTTTTTCTCTCTAAGTTACACTCTTAATCTTGTCCATTAATTCTATTTATATCTAAAAACTCAATTTTTTTAATAATGTGAGTCATTGAATACAAGTGGATCAATGATCAAGATTGAATGTAAGACTTCTAACTCTTACACCGGTGTAAAAATATCATGCGCCATATATATATATATATATATATATATATATATATATATATATATATATATATATATGGGAGGGATCTTTTGACTCTAGAGTAAGACTTACCATCTCAACCGTTGATTTTCGTCCATCTAACGATTACTATTTATTTGAAATAAATAAATAATTAATTGTTATATATAATCGTTAGATGGACGGAAATCACCGGTTGAGATGGAGAGTAAGAGTTGTAAGTCTTACTCTAGAGTCAAAAGATCACTCCCCATATATATATATATATATATATATATATATATATATATATATATATATATATATATAGTTTGTTATGTGACTTGAACTAAGGATTGGTTAAACTACACTACGTACTACAGGTAGTACATAGTGTATTTCATAACTTCTCTCTCTCAAGAAATTATCTACTAGCCGTAGTACGTCGTTAATTTCTAAAATATATTATATATTACTCGTAATACATAATGTAACTTGACCAATGCTTAGGTCAAGTTACATGACATCCGCTTAATCTATATATATATATATATATATATATATATATATATATATATCATTCACCATTTATGTTTGCATTTATATAAATTAATTAACGCGTAGCTTAACTAATTGGCTCGGGAGAAAGAAAAAAGTATTCTTATATCTCTATTACCAGAGACACTTCAATTTTCCTGCACATAGCCAATGAGATTTTTTTTTATTTTAAAAAGAAATATTGCACAGATTTTTGTGTGACTATGACAGGAGAGTAGTTGCTTCCAGCAATATAAGAAAATATTCTTCTATATATATATATATATGTAGTTCATTTTTTGTACACTCAATGTAAATAACTTATCTATATTAAGCCCCAAACGATGTCGTTTTGAGGCAAAAATCAAGGTATTTTTATATTATAAATTTATTTTTGGGTTATAATAGTATATTTCATTATAATTTTTTAATTTTTCAATTCAAAATGACGTCATTTTGAAAGCGAATATAGATAACTTATCTACATTCACTGTAGAAACATTAAAGCCATATATATATATATATATATATATATATATATATATATATATATATATATATATATATATATATATCATTTATGTTCAATTTTGTATGAATTAATTAACGCGCACCTTAACTAGTTTGGTTCAAGAGAGTTGAAAAAATATTCTTATATCACTTGTGTTATGTTATGGACTTAACTTAAGACCTTATATCTCAACCCACAACAAACAATTAGCTAAGAGAGATAAGGGCAACAACCTTATCACATCACTAGGAGAGAGAATATTAGATTCCCTAATAATACTAAGGTATTAGAACTCTACTTCTAAAAAACCCGAATATAAATAAGGTTTTAGGTCACCAGGTACACACTTTTATCTTTCATTACTCTTAGTTGTTATTGTGCACACACTTTACACCTTGATTACATCATTATTCCTTGTACATAGTGATCTACGACCCATTGTGGTGTCTTCTCTATAAACTTCTGCGAGTGTGTACTGATCCCATATTGACATTCACCCTTTGGGTGAACATCCTCGACCCTCTGAGATCGAACAACTTGAATTAATGGTTGTTGGCTAATGATGAATAACTCTATTTACATATAACAATTATCTTACTTTATTTTACATTCAATCAATCATCACCACAATATTATGCTTGAAAATATGCAAGGAAATATTATAAGTCAATAACACGAGAAAATCTTTAATACTACAATCGTAGGTGATTGCACCAATAGAATACGTACATATCAGCTAACAATGTCTCGAAAGAGAGAGAAAAAAAACCTTTAATAATATATACTATGTATTTTCGGAAGTATGTATATTTTTATTTTTAACTGAAGTCGTACCCATTATTGGATACATCTATAGCACTCAAGATCGGTTCCAATAACACATGTAGAAATGCAATGTTACAAAGAAATACTATACTTTCGCTGTCTAACATCACGAGTCATAGTTGTCACATCTCAGGATGCATATCCAAAAATGGAAGTGACAAAAAAGATCTAAAATCTTATTAATTAAAGCTTTAGGCAACTTATGATGAACTCGTATATGAAGCCGCTAGCATTATGTCATCTATTTTGATTTGGAAGAAACATAGAAATCATGAAATGGTGACCCATGGGGTATTAGACTAAAAGCTAAACGCAGATTAAAGGAGAATATTCCAAAAAGTCTTTATAATTTGTATCACTTATATCATAATGAGATAAGTCATTTTAACAGGAGCCATATATGGCTTCTCTTCAATTCTCAATGGAAAAATAAATCTTGCCCATATGAGATGCTTATT